GCTAACTTTATCAAGCCCAATAGGGAAGTGCTCATGGACAAAGTTTTGCTCCGACTCGCTCTGGTTTCTATTGATTCCTGTCGTAAATTCCTCTCGCTCAGTAAGCGTTTGTGTCACATTCACCATTTTGGGTTAAAGAATCCATGGTTCATTGCTCTCCATGATCCTGGTGTTTATATTATATTTGCTGCGTTCATGCGAACTCTGATATTTGTCGGTAATCTTCCAACGTTGCAAAATTGTGTTTAATAGAAGCTGGAAACACAGAGACAGAGACAGAGAGAGACACACACAGACATAGAGAGACAGAGACACACACAGACATAGAGAGACAGAGACACACACAGACAGAGAGACAGAGACACACACAGACAGAGAGACAGAGACACACACAGACATAGAGAGACAGAGACACACACAGACAGAGACACACACAGACATAGAGAGACAGAGACACACGCAGACATAGAGAGACAGAGACACACACAGACAGAGAGACAGACACACACAGACATAGAGAGACACACACAGACATAGAGAGACACACACAGACATAGAGACAGAGACACACACAGACATAGAGAGACAGAGACACACACAGACAGAGAGACAGAGACACACACAGACATAGAGACAGAGACACACACAGACAAGAGAGACAGAGACACACACAGACATAGAGAGACAGAGACACACACAGACATAGAGAGACAGAGACACACACAGACAGAGACAGAGACACACACAGACAGAGAGACAGAGACACACACAGACATAGAGACAGAGACACACACAGACATAGAGAGACAGAGACACACACAGACAGAGAGACAGAGACACACACAGACATAGAGAGACAGAGACACACACAGACATAGAGAGACACACACAGACATAGAGAGACAGAGACACACACAGACAGAGAGACAGAGACACACACAGACATAGAGAGACAGACACACACACAGACAGAGAGACAGAGACACACACAGACATAGAGAGACAGAGACACACACAGACAGAGAGACAGAGACACACACAGACAGAGAGACAGAGACACACACAGACAGAGAGACACACACAGACAGAGAGACAGAGACACACACAGACACAGAGAGACAGAGACACACACAGACATAGAGAGACAGAGACACACGCAGACATAGAGAGACAGAGACAAGAGACAGAGACACACACAGACAGAGAGACAGAGACACACACAGACAGAGAGACACACGCAGACATAGAGAGACAGAGACATGGAGAGGGAGAGATTTAGACCTTTACCCATAACAATCTCAGCGACCAAAACTGAAAAAACCCACAAGACAGACATTAGTGAATCAATAACATATTTTAATTTCTCAGTGTTTTTAGTATAAAAATCCCAGCGTCTGTTGGCTATACTGTGGTCTTTTTCCCAGAGAATCAGCTAAAGTACCAAATGTATTTACACACGACGTCATTCAGACTACCTCACCAAGTAAAACACCAAACACTACCACCGCACCGCTCAGAATAATGCTATCCGTTTGAAATAAAATTTAAAAAAAAACCTCAAAAATAGTAGAAAGTGTGGAGAGGGAGAAGAGAGAGAGAGGGAGGGAGGACTCGCAAGCGCCCCCTGCAGTCTGTGCCCGAAGTTACTTTTCTTTTACAATACTCTATATAAAGTGATGCATAAACTTTTTCTGCTTTACAATAAATTAGTTCAGGCACGATCTCTCCGGTGTCCCGTTCCACGCGAAACAAAAAGATGGCCGTATTTTTTGTATGCGGTTTTTTTTTTTTCATTTTTTTTTTTTTTTTCAGAAGACACTTGAACTCATCACGGCACGCTACACACGCACGATAAAAAAAAACAAAACAAAAAAAAAGGCCTGGACACTTGTTTAAGAAATGTTAAAAAAACATAACAGTATCAAAAAATGATAGCGCGCGCACAGTCGGGGAAGGGGGGAAACTTGTGGGCAGCAGTTTTTTTGGTTTCGAATGAACTATGCACTTTCGGCATTTTAGAAAAACCTCTATATAGACTTTATATAAATATGTACAAAACAAAAAAGAATGAGTGATGAGACGATGAGAAGACTACATTCAGTAAAAAGTACAAAAAAACAGGAGTTCACACAAAACAATAATGCCAAGAGACGAGTCGAAAGCCAATAAGTTACAAAACTGTAAAAATAACAAAAAAATTAAAAAAGGAGGAGGGTAAAAAGTGTGCGGGGATTTTTTTTTAGGCCGGTTTGATTCAGCCAAGTACGGTACGGTTCAGTAGGGTTTCCATAGTAACAGAGGCATGTGTACCAAGTGTTTGGCAAGTGTTCAGTTGTTTCATGGGCACCGAGACAGTACAGTGACAGGAGAGGAAACTGCTTGGTCGAGGAGTTCAAAACAAAACAAATCTAGAAAACGTCTAGAAAATTAAATGGTAGAAACAAAAGGAAATGGCATTTGTTTCTCTCGGTAAGACAGAGAGAGAGAGACAGACCAGAGAGACCAGAGAGGGAGACCAGAGAGAGACCAGAGAGAGACCAGAGAGAGACAGACCAGAGAGAGAGACCAGAGAGAGACAGACCAGAGAGACAGACCAGAGAGACAGACCAGAGAGTGAGACCAAAGAGGGAGACCAAAGAGGGAGACCAAAGAGGGAGACCAGAGAGACAGACCAGAGAGAGAGACCAGAGAGGGAGACCAGAGAGACAGACCAGAGAGACAGACCAGAGAGGGAGACCAGAGAGACAGACCAGAGAGTGAGACCAGAGAGTGAGACCAGAGAGACAGACCAGAGAGACAGACCAGAGAGGGAGACCAGAGAGACAGACCAGAGAGGGAGACCAGAGAGACAGACCAGAGAGACAGACCAGAGAGTGAGACCAAAGAGGGAGACCAAAGAGAGACAGACCAGAGAGAGAGACCAGAGAGGGAGACCAGAGAGACAGACCAGAGAGACAGACCAGAGAGACAGACCAGAGAGACAGACCAGAGAGTGAGACCAGAGAGACAGACCAGAGAGACAGACCAGAGAGACAGACCAGAGAGTGAGACCAGAGAGTGAGACCAGAGAGACAGACCAGAGAGACAGACCAGAGAGACAGACCAGAGAGACAGACCAGAGAGTGAGACCAGAGAGTGAGACCAGAGAGGGAGACCAGAGAGACAGACCAGAGAGACAGACCAGAGAGACAGACCAGAGAGTGAGACCAGAGAGACAGACCAGAGAGACAGACCAGAGAGACAGACCAGAGAGTGAGACCAGAGAGTGAGACCAGAGAGTGAGACCAGAGAGTGAGACCAGAGAGCGAGACCAGAGAGTGAGACCAGAGAGTGAGACCAGAGAGCGAGACCAGAGAGCGAGACCAGAGAGGGAGACCAGAGAGGGAGACCAGAGAGGGAGACCAGAGAGGGAGACCAGAGAGGGAGACCAGAGAGTGAGACCAGAGAGCGAGACCAGAGAGCGAGACCAGAGAGGGAGACCAGAGAGGGAGACCAGAGGGAGACCAAAGAGGGAGACCAAAGAGGGAGACCAAAGAGGGAGACCAGAGAGGGAGACCAGAGAGGGAGACCAGAGAGGGAGACCAGAGAGGGAGACCAGAGAGGGAGACCAGAGAGGGAGACCAGAGAGACAGACAGAGAGGGAGACCAGAGCGGGACATACCATAGAGAGAGACAGACAGAGCCTTTGAGTGGAGTTTGCATGTTCTCCCCTTGTCTGAGTAGAGTAAAAACAAAAGGAAATGGCATATTTTTTTCTCGTTAAGGCTCAGATAAATATATTCTAAATTAACAGTCATAAGCAATAACAGATGAAACGCTCCTCTCAAGATGTACAGTACAATTACATTTTCATAGAACAAGACAATAACCGTGTTTGTCCGTAGCATACAGCACCTGCAAAACAATTAATCACTTAATATTTTTTTCGGAGTTGACAAAAAATATACAGAAACACTAGAAGTGTTTTGACCGCAGACTGAACCGTACCGCGGGGCTTGGCAAGACCGCGGCTTTAGTTTGTCCCCGCACCGATAGCACCGACGTAAGCAGCCATTTTTTTCTCTGTTCGATGTACAGTATGTGGACAATGAACCGACAAAAACAAGTGATACAAAAACAAAACCAAAAACACAAAAACATGATAAAAAAAAAACGATAGAGGAATAAATTAGTGTTTCTTTCGGGCTTGGAGAGTTTTGTACAGGCGGCTGCTGCCAGGATGCGCCGTGGACAGAAGAAGAAGAACGAAGGGCAGTGGGATTGTTGCAGCAGCCGATTTTTTTTGCAGCACGTACGAGGCAGTCAGGCCCAGAGACCGGACACATTCAACAGATTTCAGTCACTCGAAGTCACATGAAGGGATGGTCCACGTCGTTTTTCACCCGCTAACCGAGTCGTTGCATAGCTCTTGGGGACAAAAACAGGGGATGTGTACGAGGAGTAATGAAGCTACAGTGTGTTTTATGTTGGGTTTTATGAGAACTGGTGTGAATGAAGAAAAAACAAAAATAAAAAAGCCCTGTTTCCACCATCACCCACTCTACTCTACCTGGTTGTGTTTCCATTAGGCTTTAGTATCTGGTAGCGTATCCTAGCAAACTACCCACAACAAACCAGTAACCAGGGAGACTTATTGGTAACCATGGCCTCCAGCAGCACTCTGACCAATCACTGTCAGTTAGAACACTTTAGTACCTGCTCGGCCTGAATAGAACCAGGATCAAAAGGGACTAAAGACAGAGCTGGTACCGGTTAAAAATGGCCGAAGGAAACGCTCCCATTCAGAGTAGAGTAGAGAAGAGTAGCGTAGAGTAGAGCAGGGTGGTGTAGAGAAGAGTGGAGTCGGTGGAAACTGGACTAAAGTGATTAAAAGAAACTCCAGTCCAGGCGATAACGATAAATCGTGTGTTTGTGCGAATCGTTGGCGGCGATTGTAAAAAACGAAACAAAATGATAAACGTGAAGGAAAGTGAAGTGGGAGGGGGGGAGGGTACTTCAGTCTATGAGCGCTGGTTTATTGCGGCTCTGTTTGGGAGGGGGCCCCGCGAGCGCCGCAGGTGGTCCATGGCGCGGTCGAAGGCGAGCCGCACGGCCTTCCGGTGGAACGGCGAGCATGACTCCAGCAGCTTCAGGCGGTCCACAGACGGCTGGAGGCCAAAGGGCGCCATCTTGGATCTAGGAAGCCATTGCCTGCGGAGAGAAGGTGCAGGTTGGACGGGCATCGCTACAACATCACATTATCACACTTTAGTCTGCGGTTGTTTTACTTCATCACCTTGAAAATAGATCAAGATCAACTGAAAATTATTTACACTGGAATCATTTATTTAGACAGAAAATATTTGACTAATTAAAATGTTTTTAAATATATACACCGGAAAGTGTTTTAAACAATGGGGTTTTCATTTCATCCCTCCTGACCGCCCGATGGATTCATAGAACCGTTGTTTTATACGTAGCCTTCGTTATACAGTGAAGCTGCAAATGTAGGAGTTTGTATTTTGTTAGAGCGCCCTCTAGAGGCCAACTGCCTCCTGCAAACGGCATGGTATAGACCATATATAAATGACGTATGTACTGTAATTTCTGGAATATAAGCTGCCACTTTTTTCAAGTTCTTTGATCCTTGCGGCTAATATAGCGATGCAGCTAATGTGTGCATTTTTATTGTGGTAGAGTTGTCAAAGCAGAGTATATAAACTTCATTATTTTGACTCAAGTTTTTGTAGCTATAGTCTCTTTTGACATTAAACACACGTTCATTGTCAAAAGAGACGGTGAATGAGTCACATCGTCTATCTGCTACAATATAAAATTCTGCAGCTTATATTCAAGTGCGGCCTATATGTGAACTAATGTGATGGTCTTTTCAAATTTAGGCTTATATAGAGGTGCGGCTTATAGTCCAGAAAGTACGATGATATGATGACATGGAAAAATAAAACGATATCTTCACAGAATGTTGACGAGACAGGTGTGTGTAGAACGCGGGGGGGGGCACACACCAGCTGCGTCTGCTGTCGAAGAAGTGGACGAGGAAGAGTTTCTCTGCGGACTTGAACTGCATCTGCTCTCCGAGTCTGAGCACGTCCCGCGGCGGCCTGGGCAGGTCCGGGCCGGGGCGGCGACAACCCTTCTTCCGCAGCGTTCGAGGCTCCATTATCTGAGGCGCACACACACACACACAAACACAAACACACACAGACCATCACAACACATGAACAGTCTGCTCCAGGGCCACAGCACCAAGCTCCCAGCCGCCGACAAATGCACAGGCATGCACTCAGCCCCACATGCAGCAGAAAGAAGCAGCCGGAGGCACTACCACGAGACAGGGCAGACGCGACCGGGTGGCACTCACCAGGGCAGGGAACGAGGGATATCCACTACACTTAGCCCAAACTAGTTTAAGAGGCTCCAGCGCAAATGCAGCGGAGTCTGAAGGTTTCCACACAGCTACAGGGACAACAACAGCAGGTTAAACACAAAGACGCACATGGGGAAAAGCCACGCTGACAAGTTGAGTTTCCATAACAAATAAAAAGGTCAAATAAAAGATCACGTTTAACCCTTTAAAGTTCACTTCTTGAAGACACGCATTTTTTTCTTGTTTGGATTTTCTAAGATTTAGGACACTAAGAACACAAATAACTAGTTATGTGTATATATATATTTTTGAACCCTTAGTATTTGAATTATAGGCCTTTACCAAATGGTTGAGATGCAGTTTGATGGTAAATGTGCCTAAAACCAAGTGAGATGCCCCAAAGAGGGAGACTTCATAACATCATCCTGCCCAGGGACTGTAACCTGGTACAATGCATCTCTCCCTTTGAGGTTAATGTTTATTGTACTCCATCTCTGTCCCTTTAAAAAAAAAAAAAAGAACAAAACAAGTTTCAGTTTCAAGCTTCAAGTAGACAAAGTACTCAAAGAGTGATCTGCCAACTGGTTGAGAAAACCATTAAAAAGGTTGAGTAAGTGGAGGAGGAATAGTATAGCAATAGACTGAATCAGCTATTTCAAATGTGTCACCGTTACCATGGATACCATACGTTTAAGTTTACGTTACATTTTCTCGTTTTGGTTGAATTGAAAAAGCAATAGCTGGTTAAGGAGCTGATAAAAAAGGTGTTTGGATTTTACTTCAGTTACTTGATCAAACCAAAACTGGACAAAAGGTGAAGAAGGCTGTAATTGTAGTCTGCCACTGATTTGTAAAAATGTTTTTTATAGTAAATCACATGGTGTGTTGAAATGTAAACATTACAATGTTTTCTTGAGAGAATCAGCTTTTAAATGAGGTATGAACATTCATTCATTCATTTCTTGTTACCCAACTACTCAAATTTTTCGACCCATTTTGACTGCTGGACTTAGTTGAACTTTAGCAACACACAGTTTTCCACCTACTCACCAGGGGGCGCAGCTGTCTCACTTACATCGAAACAGATTTTCTAGGCATAAATTTCAAGTCAGTATCACTACCAACCTTTAATGTTTAGAAAGCAAAACAACATAAAATGAAAGATGAAGATAATTAGTAGACTATATCATCTCTGGGTTATTCCCTGGTCAGCTAAATTTACCACAGCGGGCCAATGTTGCAAATTTGCAACATCCCAGAATGCCTGTGATGGTCTCTCTCACAAAAAAAGTCAGGATTGTACATCACTACCCCATATGATAATTTTACCCAAATATCAGATTTTTCCTGTCATTCCAATTTAATAAGGCCCTGAGAGAGTCAACACACTGCCATCAATGCGGCAATTTAATCATAATTTAAAATGAGGGGCCACTAAAAATACACTTTGTGAAAAATAGGTAATCTTTTATTATAATCAATTTCATATTCAGTTTGTCACAATTTAGAGTGAACGAACTTATGGAAACACAACTATAGTCGGGTTAATTACAGAGTAGCAGCAACCGACAACAAACACACAGGTTATTCAAACATGTTCACATCCTGATTGTCATGATCGGATAAGTCTTGGATGGACGTTTGACTTTCTTTTTTTACAGTAAAGAAAGAATAATATAAATATCAAAAGGCACATGCACATATAAATAGACAAACATAAAACAAAACGCTTAGAGCTGCTGCGGGTGTCGTTCCGGCAGCGATAGAGCCGCACAGAGTCCTGTCGTTATCATAGAACATATTTATTGGTGTAATAGTGAGGGTTGTCACGTGTTAGTTTGGGCAGAGGGCTGGTGGAAGCGTGCCATGCTCATGCACAGGCAGGCTCTCCGCATGGATCCTGTCTCTGCCGCACCATGTTTTACCTGTGGACACTTTAGAGTTGGGGAACTCTCCGTTTTCCACACAGCTTAGGATTGAGCTCTTATCGTCCACGGTGCTCCTGCGCGCTGCCGGTCGACTCTTGCCGTTCTTGGAAACAGACGTGGTTCTGGAACACAAGACGGAGTGGAGCCGTTAGGAGATGCTCCGAGGGTCCTCGCTTCCTGCTGCTGTCGGACTGTACAATGAGAACTGCTGAGCCTGTACATTTCACATGTGCGGATAATCAACTAGACCAGTGATGGGCAAACCCCGGCCTGTGGGCCAGATGTGGCTCTTTGAACGTTTCTACTAGGCCCCTGAGCCCTCCTCAGTTTTCAAAGATATTTTAAAGACTACAAAGTCCAGAATTCTGCACGCAGCAAAGAGGGGGCAGCAGCCATATCGCAGGAGGAGAAGTAACACATTTAATATGATATGTGTCAAAAACAAAGCCTGAGAAAAAAATTGAAAATCAGGTCTGGCCCCTGAGAAATTTGTGCTTGTCTGCACTAGACACTTAAAGAGTGTCACCACCAAATCAACTTTTTTTAACTCAAACTGCATAAGTATGTTTATTGTAGTGCTGTCTACATATCCTGGTCATTTTTTTGACATTTTAGTTCAAATTAGATAAAATATCACTTTTGAGCCAAAAAACGCTGTGTGGCTCCCTCTCAACCTTTTTGGTGGTACTACATTTTAATTTGGTCCTGGCCTCTCCATTGACTCTGAAGTTCTCTATGACATCAGTTGTTTTGTGTGACGTCAGTCTGTCAGAGCCAGTGATATGAACCCATTCAACTCTCACACACGCCCCAGCTGCATTTTGGAGTATTCTGGCGCCATCTAGTGGATTAAAATTAAATTACATGAGTCATTCTGAGATTATTGAGTGTGATTAGGTTCAGGTGTGTAGCTTTACAATTATCTTAGTGTGTAAACAAGGGTGGAATGAGACTTTCTGGTCTGTAAACTATTGCTTCAAGCAGCAATGACGACTGTCTGGTTTTTTTTTTGTGTGACAAGTGAGCTGTCAATCACAGCACAGACCACGCCCAACTCTAAGCCCCCCTTCTTGTCCCTTGGTCCTCCAGGCAACGCCCTTTTTAGAGAACATTTTCAAATCTTCATGTGGGCGGAGTAAGGCTGGGCACAGGTGTTTAGTCGCTCTTTAACTAGTTACTTTGCCCGCCATTATTATGACATTATTACATCATCACATATTCCATCTGATAAATCTGCTCTGATGACTCACAAGTCACTTTACCTGCTGCTATCTTTACTGATGTTTGTTCTGTAAACACCTTATGATGCTAACAAGTAACAGGGATAGTTTAATCTTATTTAATTATTTATTATTTATTTATTATCTATTACCTTAAATAACAGATCTTGTTTGATAACATGAGTGCTCTTATTTTCTACTTTTATTCTGCAGTAATGTGCAGTAATGTGCAACAATGACATTGAGATTTCCAGCAGTAAAGGGTTACAGCAGGAGTGAGTCTGTGGTTCTAACCTGGCTCCACAGAGGACGTCGCTGGACGAGAGGCTGGACTCTGAGGCGCAGCGTCTGCGAGGCTCCAGAGGCCGAGAGGGCGGCAAGCTCTCCTCTTCCTCTTCCTCCACAAAACCGTTTGTGAGCCCTGGACATGGAACAGGACAATGTTTAAAACCACTCATTTCATAATGGCAGCAAGAAACGAGAACATGATTTGTGAAATGTAAAGATCAAAGCACTAGTAAAAGTAAAATGTGGCAGGTCCCGATTCCATGGAATAGAAGCAAAAAGGTTTTATGCCATAGTGTAGAGCAGGCAGGTCCAAACTGAGGCCCGGGGTACAATGTGGTCCAGTGTCATTTTCTGTAGTTCTCTGCTTTGCTAACACTAAATTAGCCATTGCAATCACAAACATTCTGTGTCATCCAGCCAACTTCATCTCCAATATAGACATACTATGACTCATTGTAAATCTGTGAGTCGAGTCTTTGAGTTGTTTGACAACACCAACATTTATTTGTACATGACTCAAGTAGCTATAATCATCTTTTCACATCAGCTCTGTCTGTAAAGTTTGAATGTGAATCATTGTGGACATGTCATATCTAACGTAAAGCACAGAACAGCCAGAGTTCTACCGTACAGACCATTGGCCCTGGAATGTCCGACGTGGCTCTTACCAAAAAGTAAAACACAAACGATGTCAGTGCAGTGATTGAACTTCAACAAACTGGACAAAACATGCTTCTATTGTGATCCGTGAAACCAGAACGTTTCCTTTAAACGTGCAGCGAGAGGCCTGTACCTGTGCTGTGCCGTTTCCTCGGCAACTCGTTGTGAGCATCGACGCTGCTGCTGCGCGTCCTCTTCTTGGGCAGCAGCAGCGTCTCGAGGCGCGGGATGACCACAGAGAGGAAAGTTTTGGCCAGCGGCGCCTCGGCCTCCTCTGAGGGCGGGGTCTTGTGGGGACTGACGCTCTTGGACTTCCTGAAGAGGATGCTGCTGCGCCTGTTGCCACGCGGCGACAGCTCTGGCTGCAGCTCCAGGTGGAGCTCGTTGGGGAGGTGACCGTTGGGAGTGCCCCGCGGCGGTGAGGTAGATGTGTCCGGCTCCGTGGGCCTAGTGTCTGTGTCCGCCGCGGTGATGGTGACGGAGGGGGTGGAGCCTGGAGATACGCCTGCTGTAGAAACAACAGCACCACTTAATTCTACCGAAAAAAATCCTCGGAACATGAACAAACCCAGGGAACCCTGTTTTAAATTATTTTCTCATTACAAAATGTGTGAATCCATTTTCGTCATCATGACAAACGTTTCAGTTAGTGTAATTCTCTGGTCAATATAATTCATCCATGTTAGAACTCTGCAGGTCATACAGTGGTGAGGCCACTGTATGTATCAGTCTTGTGTTGGAGCGCCCTCTGGAGGCTAACTGCCGCCTGCACACGGCAGACAAACATCAGCTGGTCCTCTTTCCCTTTTCTGTCTGAAAAAGTGATCTAAAAGACATGTGAAAACTTGTGATGGAAACAGATCGTTTTAGAGCCAGTAACTAGTGACACAGATCAGGCCTTTCCTGCTGCTGTAACGAAACTCGTGTGAACCCATAAATGTACGAGCTTCATCCTAACTTAAACACTATATCGACTGCTCTACAAAACCAATCAGTTTGATCTGGGACTTACCAGGAGGCGAGTGCGTGGGCGAGGCTGGCCGCGTGGGCAGAGGTATCGACGTCTCCTCTGGGGCGGCTGCGGCTTGGAGTACAGGTAGTGGTTTTGACTCAGCTGGTGATGGGGGCGGTTCCTGGGGGGGCGGCGTATGGGGGCGGGGCTTCTTGAGGCCGATCTCTGTGCGCACCTCTGTGATGGTCTTCTTCAGGAGCTTGAGCCTCTTGCTGCGGGACGGGCTCTGCTTCATGGTCCGGCTCAGGTCCAGCTTCTGCAGCAGTTCCTTGAGCTGATCCTCCAGTGGGGTGCTCTGCCGGTACTTGGGGGTCAAAAGCTGGTCCACTGCGAGGAGAGAGAAGGGAAACAACTTTGAATGCATTGTGGGAATTCTTATTACAGATATTACAGGCCGTATATTAGGAGTGGACTGACTGATGCTGACTGGAGCCAATCTCCTTATATGGACATTTCTTCCAGTGTATTAGGGGTCAAGGTGTTGCTAGGACGGTTGCTAAGGCTAGAAGGAGTTTCCCCAGCAAATGAAGGCCTCTGATTAATGTCAATCCTTATATCTGGCTTAAAGTGTAAACACCAACATCACAGGAGGCGCTACACCATGGATTGTTAAAGCCCAAAATGGTGAGTGTGACACAAACGGGCTTCACTGAATTTCATGGTTAGCTTCTTCTAGGTCGAGTTTTATGAAACTTTTGTTTTCTTTTGAAATACATTGTTTTTGATGAATCCACACTTTTGTGCCACAAACTCTGCTCAGTCTCATCAGGAGTGCTCTGATGGTCAGAACATTTAAATGTTACTCTGGTCGTGCAAAAGTAGAGCTGTCAAGAATGCGTTTATTCTGCTAATGTTTGGGACGTCTATGGTGCGAGCATGAGCAAATGAACACAGGTTATTTATCCGAATGGGCCTCTTTGGGACCCAGGGCTTGGTTTACAGATATTCTTTGCACATAAACTAAAAGAGTAAAGTAGCACTACTTACTGTGAGAACCTGCGGCGTGCACGGGCACACTAATGTTTGTTGTTGAACTGTCCTGTGAAAGCCACTACCTGTTTTCTCTGATTGGGTCTTTAGCGACAGAGATCCAGACCATCATGTCTTTTCATATTGTAACATCCGGTGGTTCAGGCTAGTACAGCACTTGCTGTCCACATAAACGGCGTGCTTGACTATATAAACAGATGACTTTTAACTGGTCACAACATGATTTCATTAAAATGGGTTTTAACGTACTGTTGACTTATGGACACTGCGAAAAAAGTAAATAACATAATGAACTCTTAAGGAGGAAAACATTAGCATGTTTAGCATAACACTCTCTTGAATGAGCTGGAAACAGCAGCAAGTCCTAAGTCGTTCTGAAGCAGTCGTTTTGTGCTTTACAATCGTTATTTTTCTTTTTCTCCAGCTGTACAGTGTTCACGGTTTCACACTGATCCAGACCAGAGCAGAGAGGAAGCATGGTCCGATCCCCTGGAGGAATGTAATTTTTTGAAAAATTCTGATAAAGCATTTAGAATGAGCAGTGTATTCTTAATATTGATAACAATGCAACAGTATGAATCATAAAACCTTGTGATGGTGCCAGGTTGGATAGTTCTTAATTTGTTATAACATTTAGTTTATTAGATATCAAAATCATTCAAAACTACTCAGAAGAGCTCACGTTTTTTTCTCAGTATCAAACATGAGTATATTCGGCCGTCTGGTCGAAACAAAGGCTTTTATTCAGTTCCCCTCCTGTTTTGAATGTGCACACCACTTATTTCAGTAATATGCTACCATTTAATTGATATGGATCATATTATTATTAGCGTACATAAAATTGTTCGATTATGTAATGTATTATAATATCAATATACAAGACGAGCCTTTAGGCCAATCTCGTTCACCTCATTGTGTTTGACCCACTTCAGTAAAGCTAGACTTTATTCCCCGCTGTAGGATATGTGTCCTCTGTACTTGTACAGGGCCAGCTCCAGATGTGGATGCTCAGCTTGGCCAAGACCAGAGCTGCAGGATTCACCATTGAACATGTTTATTATCATTCTGTATGCTCAAGAACTATAGGCTCAAGGTTAAAAGCATTTGATTTTTCAGTGACAGCAGGGACTTGGTTTATTTGTGCAGTGGTTTTTTTGTGTGACAGTGGTTGAAAACAGCATGGTAACAACAGCAGCAGACATTAGCATTAGTGTCGTCTAAAAAGGTTTTCTCTCTTAAAACTCCAGTGCAAGTGAAATATAGGCTCATGGACGTTCCCATGGATACAAAGCACATCAGCGCCCCGTGTTTTCTCCCTGCTCTGAGGTGGAGGAGGAGGAGAGATGGCCAGACCTGAGGTACTTCGGGCCATTTTTCAAGACAGCGACAACTTTCCTCGAGTCACCAGACCCAGAGGAGAGGTAAGAGAGGGGCAGGGCCGAGGGTTTTGCATGTGCTTGCATTAAAACAACTCGAATGGAGCGTTTCAACCAGCCCCGTTTAACCGCTACCAGGTCAGAGGTTTAAAGGATACGGTACCAGATACTAAAACGTAGCTGGTATTCACGGTTACGTTTTCATATTATTCTTAATCACGCCATTTTTGTTGATTGTGGAGTGTAATAATGAAAATGGCACTTGGATTTGGATGAGTTGCAAATAGGCCTAACTGACGCAGCACCCACCCACGTCCCAGGTGAACGGATCGGCCTCCTCCAGCTTGGGGGCCTCGGGCAGGTGGATCCCGCTGGGGAAGTCGAAGCCGATGCGGTCCGCCTCCCTGCGGGCTCGCCTCAGGATGGCCCCGCCGTGGTCCTGCATGCGGAGGCCGGCCTTGTAGAAGAAATTGTCCTTGGCGTTGTACGTCAGGCAGTTTGCGATCATGAGGTTGAAGTCCGCCTCGAAGTCGTCCAGGCTCCGGTACACATGGTCGTCGATGCGCCTCCTCATGGTGGAGTAGTCTATGGGGTTCTTGATGACGTCCAGGTAGTCCGTCACCTGCGGAGGACACGGACATTCAAAAAACAAGATTCAGATTCATCGTATTTGCCATTTGCGGTAAAGACCACATTGGAATACATTTACAAAAATCCCCAGTGTATACAACACATGTACATATAAATTACTAAAAGAGTGCAGGAAATAATTGTCACTGTCGAATCTACTACTTTAACAACAGCAGTTTTCTTTCATTTTGATGGGATTTAACCTTTTAGGCGCCAGAGATGAATTAAAGTAAATGTTGAGCCGTAAAACTCATATACAGCGGACTACTTAAACAAATAAGATGAAAAGAAACAAAAAATATGTAGGAACGTTTAGGAGTCCAAGTTGCTGTATGGAAAGTGTCCTGGATTCAAGAACTCATGCAGCAATTATGCTAATGTATGTGTGTGATCAATCTATCCATCCATCTCTCTCTGTCCTTGAGTGTATTACAGGCTTATACTTTGGTCCCGAATGCCAAATTTAAGAGGCATTACAGCTACTTCTGTATATCTAATGTGCTCTTACTACTGTCCCTGCTGTGGGACGAATGAAGTTTCTTGTAATTATCTCTCGTCTTAGAGCCAGGGAAGAGAACTGTACCGATTTCTGTGTAAATGTATGTCAGAGCTAATCAGCGCCTGAAACGTGGCCCATTTCGTAGATCAAAAGCCCAGCTCAAAGTACAAGTAGAAGGTAAGAAACGGCTGCGTACCTCGCTGGTGTTGACGGGCTGAGCGAAAATACTGTAGTGGTCCTTCTCCTGGAGCTGCCGGAGCACGGCTCTCAGCAGGATGTTGAACGGGGTCAGCTGCATCTCCAGGACCGACTGCTGCAGCTTCATCTGACAAAACCACACGACTGTTAAACCCACCGATCAGTATTACAGAGGTGAGATATCTAATAATACATTTCATTTATATTCAGCATTTCTTGGCACTCAGGGTCGCCTTACAAACAGGTAAAATGTTAAAAGCAAACACAGTTAAAGGCTTACAGTTCAATGTGGACAGTGAAATGTCGGGTCATGGTGAATAGGCCAGTCTGAACAGGTGGTTTCTAAGTGTGGTTTGGAAGTGTGGGAGTGTGTCAGTGTAGCGGAGGTCAGAGGGAAGTCTGTTCTGGGCCCAGGGGAAAGGCTGTTCTGGACCACGGGTAAGGCTGTTCTGGACCACGGGTAAGGCTGTTCTGGACCACGGGCAAAGGGTGTTCTGGGCCAGGGGAAAGTTCAAAACGCATCTCAAATCATGGTTTATCACATGGTTAAAACAAAACATCACAAAACTAACTTTTAACTGTTTGTATATTCGGTGAATGTACACTGTTATTCTATTATTGATATTTTAAGTGTTTGTATTAGCTTTTCAGGTAAATTTGTTGTGTGATTATGCTATAGCTAAGTTTTTCATGCTAACAACTGTGTTTCTCCCGTGTTTGCTTGAAATAAATGTATAAAATGTGGAGGAGCTCAGAGTGAGATAGAGTGGCGAGGTTGAATGTCGTTGAGTCGTTTCAGGACAGGGGTGATGTGGTTCGAGCAGCCGCGTACCTCTTCTCGCTTGAGCTTCTCCCTCTTTCTGATGAGCTCCAACAAGAGTCTGGCTCTCTCCAGGTCGTGGCGAAGGCGGTGCCACTCTTTCAGCTGTTCCTTCAAGGCTCTGTTTGCTTCTGCACGACTCGGCTGCGATGTGAGAGAAAAAACAGGTGAGTATATTGACCGTCGAAAATCGGTTTTATATAGCGCTTTTTGGACACTCAAAGTTGCTCAAAAGGCAATATTAATTCACTCCAGGCCCTGTCCTGCTTAGCTCTAAAGGTCTGACGGGATCTGGCTTTCACATGCAGGTATGTCTGTAATATTTGAAAAGAAAAGAAACTTTGTAATAGAATGTTGTTGAATGCAAGGTTTTCATGTTGTAAACTACATGTTGCCGAAATGGCCCGGGACGCTCTGAGGATGCACGCTTAACATTTGAGGGGCCAACTAAAATCTTGGCATTTGGTCCAAGGCCAGACTAACCCCAACCTCCCCAATTACATATATGCTGCCTTTTTAACCTTTATTATTAGTGCGAGTTTTAAAAGTCAGAAAAAGCACCAAAAAGTGAGTATTTCCTTCTGCTGGAGACGAAATACCCAGATTCTAGAAAGACCCGGAGCTTTGACTCCTAAAACTAAAGTCAAAATAGGTCCCTAAACGCTTGAATGCCACTGGGCTTTGTTCCATATGTGAGACAGATATCCAGTTAGAGCAGGGGTGTCAATGGTGTATAATTTTTTCTTTTTACATTATGAAAAGGTATTTTGAAATTACATTCTGGTAGACTTTTCTGGACAAAATCCTCAGTTGATGTTTGTTTGGACTGAACCAAGAGCAGACCAAAGGCAAAGAAGACTGTAGACGTAGACTTTTAGGCCAATGCATTTTGTAAATATATGAATGAATAAAGTTAGTTGGTTGCTTTTTGAGACCATTTGCTCTAAAATGAGATACAACATGCCATGGTCCACATAGAAATACTGCCATCAATGCTGCGCGTTAATCATAATAATTGCATATCGGTTCAGGGGCCACTGAACTGATATGACACATGTGAGAGAGAGTTCAGTGTTTGTTTACCACAGCACCACGGCTACATTTAACAGGCACTTGCAGCGGCCTGCTAAATCAAGACCCCGTTCTGTCCCGGTTCCCACGGCAACAAAAAAACAAGGCACTGGACAAAATTAGCGCCTGATAACCCCAGAAGAACGGTAAACTGTCTTAACGGCATCCCACCAAATATAATCACGTTTTTCATTACTGAGAAAGGAAGGTCTAAGGCTGGCATGTCCAAACTCAGGCCCGTGGGCTAAATGTGGCCCTCTTTGTCATTATTTGTGGCCCTCTGTCTTACTTACACAAAGAGGTCTTTAAGAGTATAAACACAAATTCACAGCGTCATCCAGACAACTTGAGCGTCACCAAAACAGGCAATGCCGTAACTCGCTGTAAAGGGACATGTATATTAGGGACATTTGTGTTTGATTGTGTCACAAAATATGGGTAACGCTTGAAATTATCCCTCCATATTTAACAGTTAAGTGCTAATTAGCGTACCCTAACCTTGTACCACATAGGAAAGTGTCAGTTAGATATAGAAGTAATATAGAAGTTAGATGTTGAATAAGGCCATGTAGAATAAGGACTAAAAGGTGCAAAATTAAAACCAATAAAGAGCCAATAAACAATGAAGTATACACCAATAAGCACTTAATTAGTGAGAGCTAAATTAAAGTTACCAAAATTCCATATATGGCGCTAATGTAGCCGCTGTGAGATAGTGTGGACATTTATTGTCATCTGCCCCTTACAGACAAATACCTCTGAGTTTTTTTTATCATTGCATGCGTTTGAACCGTTTGATTCTCTGATCTGTGTTGGCTAAATCGACAGCTTTGTAAAGTCCTCATAGAAAGCTACTGTTGTGACATAGGGCTTTACAAAAACACACATTTAATTGAATCGAATCGTCTGGCTTGCACGGACCAGGGCTGAAAAGCAACGGTAAAAAGACGGACCTGTTTGGTTTTGGGCTGCTGGGGGTTGGCCTGCAGTCTCCGGATCAGAGGCACGTTGTTTCTCGACTGTCTCTTTAGCACCCAGTAACTCAGCACCCGCTCCACGAAGGGACGCTTCCTCTGCACCGACACCAGGTTCAGGATGGTGTCCAAGCTGGAAGGACAACGGGACAAACGGCTGTGAAACGTAGAGCGTGCCCTCGAGGTTGTTCAGAAATACTTTTGCGTGTCAGACAGAATGCCATTCCAAAAACAAAGGGAGGATATGAGAAGTTTGAAACACATTGGATAACACAGTACATAGTTGTATTCATTCATTCATTTCTCATACTGTGTGGAGAAAATTAATTTTCAAAAACTGTACCATATCAAAATATTACACAAACACACACATGACATCTTGCCCTTTTAAGTAGTTTTTTGAAAAAGCCTGAAAACATTTAGGGCCAAACAAAAAGTTACCACTGCCTAAGCCAATCCTTTCAAGATAAGATAGACTATTGATCTCACAAAGGAGAAATTTACATCTGGCATTGATAGAAACACTCAAGATTGTGCAAAAAGAAAGAAATGTGCATGTTAACATGCACATTGAATGCAGGATATTATGTACAATAAAAAGTGTCAATTTAAAAAGTGGCAATCAGAAACCGTGTCAATAGTAGTGCAGGTTTTTTTCAGTCTTAATGCAGTGACTTAAAGTGACTTGTTGTACAGTCAAATGTACTGCAGATAAAACATGTTGAAGAGTCCTCCAGAATACAACTTCAATAAATTGTCAAAACGGCTAAATAAATTGCAAAAACAATTCTTCTACCATGGCCACAACTGTCTTGAGACTCACAAAACCAGCAAATCAATAGCAAAAACAACAACAGTCACTCATTCACTCCAAAAGCCCCGCCATAAACTCATAGCTTTATCCGAGTTCAAATGTGTACCATTTATCAGTAATGGTGGTCAGCTGATGTTTCCCATAACTCTAATGATACATTAGGAGTGGACTGACCGCGTGTGACATCACCATAGTGCTAGCCTTAAAGCTGAAGAAGCCAATTTGAACACAGGCTAGCCAATTTCTTTATATGGGTTATTTCTTCCACGGCTTTGTGCCGTAACAGGAGCAGACGTGTTGCTAAGACGCTGACTAAGGTAAGCTGGAGTTTCCCCTGCCAATGAAGGCATCTGATTGGTCAATTCTTATGAGACAATATCAAAATATAAAACACCAGGATCAATTAGAGAGCGCTAGACCACAGACAGTTTAAAGCCCAAAACGGTGAGTGTGACGCAAACAATTACTGCGTTAGAGTTTTAATAAGAGCCAGAGAGTGTTGAAGCAAAACTTTATCCATGAGCACTTTCATCTATACACAGGCTATGTTTTGGAGTGGTTTCCTACCTTGACGCTGTGATGCTCGGCCCGTTGCAGGTTGGCGTCTCCCCTTCTGTTTCTGCCACTGGCGGCGGCTCCACTTTCCGGACCTTCTTGCGGTGCCACATTTTCGTGCGCGCTTTCCTCTTCTGGCACACGCCGTTCCTCCGGTGCGGCTCCTCGTAGACGTTCAGCGGTCTCCGGTCGCAGCCGTCGGGCGTGTGTGCGCAGCAGTAGGCAGTCTTTTTGACAGAGAAAGTGGTAGCTCCGGAAGGCGACTCATCCTTCAGCGGCTCTATTCTCATGAACAGCCCGGCCTTCTGCGCGCAGCTGACGTGGAAGGCGGCATAGCAGTTCATTTTGTCGCATTGTATACACGCGCCCGCACGTTTCTCTTTACATAGATAACAGGTGAGCTTCCAGCGAGCCGGGGGGATGTTACGCACTCCGTCGATGGGCTCGATAAAAACTGTATCAGAAAATCCGACTTCGGGCACCCATATCGCACACGCCACATGCCCCCAGCGGTCGTCGTCTGTTCGCTTCAGCGCGCCGCCGCGGTTCGGACAAAAGACGCAATCGGCGGGACGCGAGGGGCACTGCAGGCAATGCCGACACAGCCACTGGCCTTCAGGGACGTAGGGCACGCCGTAGCACTCCTGGTGGACCGCGATGTTGCAGGAGTCGCAGAAGAGGATGACGTTGCTGTCCGCGCCATCGCCGTCCATGCAGATGCAGCACACGGCGTCCTCGTCCACCTGGGACTGCTGGTCGCTCTGGCCCTGCGTCGCGGCGAACGACTCCTTCTCAAAGCGGTCCATGAGGAACTCGAAGAGGTTGTGCGAGACGTGCGTGGCCCCCTCGCTTTTGCGCTTCTCATTCATGAGGTCCAGCCAGGCGTAGTCCTCCTCGTCCATGTCGTACTCCACCTCCTCGTCCAGCTCCTCCTCAGTCATTTCTGTAAATTGGTAATAAGACTGCGGTCTCCTGGGCACCACCGGGAGATTGTACTCCACCGTCCTGAATTTAGGCTCCAGTAAACCAGTGTTGTTAGCGGGTGGAATCACTGGGGCGGGCACAAGCGCTGCGTTCTTCTTCTTCTGGTTGTTTTTGAGCCGGACCGAGCGGACCAAAACAAGCTGAGGTTTTTCATTGTTCTCCTTGTTGCTGTTGCACTCCATGATTTCCTGCGCAGTGGGGTCATCGTCGGAGATCACGTCCAGCTTGTCGTAGATGCTGATCCGGTGGACGCGGCCATCCACCTCCAGCTCCACCATGCGCTGAGCCTCGGCATAAGTAAGCGTCTCCCGATTGGGCGAGGGCTTGATGGGAGACGACTCTCTCTTCAACACGGACGTGCGTTGGTTTCGACTCTTTTTCCGCATCTTGAACAGTATAGACCCTGCAACAAACCGGCAAAAGTATACTTAATAGTGGCATGGTTTTACATTCTCAGAACATGTCCATTGTTTTGAAGAATTTGTTTTACGGTTTAAAAGACAGAGCATGACGCAACAGTTGTCGTGACAACAATTGAAAAGAAAGGTGTCACAAGATATAACAAAGTATTGTGTTCAGGTTCAGAAATGGCTTGAAGAAGGAAGTAGAAATGGCCCCAGGCTGATAACCACTGAAAATGGTTTAGCAAAATAGTGTGTGTGGGTTTGTCATAGGAAGCAGAAATGACAAGCACGTGTCTAAAGTGAGAAGTCTCAGCGTGTGCTGCTGCCTTTACTATTACTGTGAAGGAAAACCCGGCTCCAACTGAAGACCCTAAAGTAGGTCAGGGGGCGTGAGGGACAACTGGCCTGACCCAACCAAAACAAAAGGACTGTCTGGACACTAAGCAACACTACAAGAGTATCTTCTGAAGGAGACGCGGTCACGTCTGGCACCACACACTCTTGTCTTGTCAGTTTAGTGAAGTGTTGGAGTCGGACTGGAAACGACCTTGGTTCGTGGTTCGTCGGTTTTCCCAGAGCCATGAGTCATAAACGAGTGTTTCATGACAGAGTTACCTTTAAATATGCCCGTAATTACAAGACATGGGGCAGATCAGTCTTGCTGTCTTCAGCCCATTCAAAACTACATGTATAAAAAGGCACTGACCCGAGGCTGAACACAACAATGCGCCTTTATCCGCCCCAGCCGGAGGCAGCGGGCTGTAGTAGAATCACAGCCGCGACCTGCAGCTTCAGCTCGGCTCTGAATGAGCAGGAACTGCCTGTGCTCATGTTGGCTTGGCTTCATCGACCTTCAGTGTTAAAATAAACCGATAATCGTCTCTCTTACGCCGATAATGATTAACCAAAAGCTGGGTGTGTGGTGGAGGGGCCAGATGGTCCTGTGATCCGGGCAGTGGCCCCTCTGGTGGTCCGACAGACGCATTAGGACACTCCGTCCACAGCCCTAGCTCCTGCTAGCTTAGCCTCACTGTGGGAGGAAACATGGCGACCAGCACAACACCAAACTGCCTCAACTTCAAAAGTTGGTTATTCGTTCAGAAAAGATGGAATCGTTTTCATTCAAACGTGCGAAGAATGTGCAAAACAAACATCAAATGTTGCGTGAGAAAAGAGAGCGTTCTTACCTGTTTCCTGTGAGGATGTGAGCCTTTAAAACAGGAGCAATGGCGGCGCGGCCTGTGGGAGCAGCACTGACCTCACATTCAGCCGCTGCTGCAAAGGGCCGCGGAGAGCGCCGAGGCGGACAGAGCCCTCAGAGAGCGGTGCTCATCCAGGGCTGGGAGTTCGTCCGGAGGGGTCCCACGGTATCTGGGAGGTGGATAGATCCGCGGGAGAGCGCACAGAGAGGGTTGAAGTAGCAGTCCTCGGCAGCAGCCCGAGCTTCTCTTCCCCCAACAACAATGCAGCTGCGAGGCGTTCTGCGGAGACGTCACCACGCACGGACTAGCACCCGGAAGTGACTTCTAACTGTAAAGTGATCTGGTTTTGCACAGGACCTAGTGGATCTATTGTAATGTTATAACTCTATGACAGGACCAGGTAAGGCACCAGTTTACAAACTACTAACATATGTAACATGTATAAATAAATGACTTCAGAAGCACAGGAGTGGTCTGGCTGCTCGTGGCCTGTTTCCACAGAGAACTC